TTGATATAATTACTTAATATAGATATTCATTTCGTTGCTATAGTTAAATGTATTATTCTATAAGTTAAAATTGAAGTATTTAATATTGTTAGTACTTTTTACAAAAAGATTATGTATATTTTATAAATAATTAACTTCAAGACTGTTAACCTAATATATAATGAAAGACATTACTTATGACTTGTATATTTACTTATGTAATCTTTATATATTATTTCAGAAATGTTTTATGTAAATTATAATGTATATATTATAAAAACACAATATTTTTTTAAAATAATATTCTTTACCTAATTTCTCATATATTTTAAGAAATATAACTCTAATATGTAATTCAACGATATTCGTATAAATATATTTTTAAATTTAATTTTATATATTTACAGATCGTTGTCCAGACGAAGGATGTAAAACTGTTGTTTCTCAAGTGTCTATTGCTTTGGAACAACTTAATAACAACACACGTATTTTGGATAATGAATCACACTAGTTTAAAATGTTCTAGTTTACAATCTAGTCAGTGTCGCATGTAGAAAATCAATGACTAATGGCAAAATAAAATGCCCTTTCTATATAGTGCCTTTTTAGAAATTATAATTCATTATCTTTATAACTTACCTATAGTTAATAGATATTCACGAGTTTTATTAAATTTTTTATTATCTAAGTAAAATGTTTTGTTCTGTAATAGTGGAACAAATCTAATGAATAAAAAATAAATAACACCTAGTTTTTATTAAAACAAAATTAAACTGTTTGTGATCTTAAAATAGAACAATTATGTTTTTTGAAAAATTCAGTTGTTTATTTTGTAATTTATACAATGGGACGGTTATTCATAAAAATAATGATTATTAATGTAAAAAATTTACTCATAGAATTTTGATTGAAAAAATAGATGGAATATAAATTTAAAAAATGTTAACATTTTAACAAATTTATGTCTGTTATAACAGAATCACTACTCTATTATAAGTACTTTATACTCTTTTTCCATTCAATTCATTCTAATTCAAAGGTCTACATTTAAAAATCTTTTTATTCTTAACCATTTTTGGTTTTCTCACATCACTGTCATTCCTATCTTTATAGTATTGCATCAATTTAATCAGATAATTTATTAAAGTAAAATAGTTATTTTATGTTATTCCAATATAATTATAATAATTCACATTATTACTACTTAAACTTAAACTTTTTTAAATCAATTTAAAATAAAATTTAATATTTTGAATAATGGAGAACTATTTTATTTATACTTGTCAACAAATATTTAAAGTTATTCTACATAATACAATGATAATTGTAAAAAAAATAAATTATAACATAATTACATTTTGGTTTATAATTCTGCAAATCAAATAGTTACCACATATTTATATTATTTTATTATCGATAGTGAAAGGTCTTAATTTGATTATAAGTTTATTCTATTGTTTAGTATCAACATTTTTACACATGCTATTTAAACACTTACTCTTTATATTTCATGTCACAGAGATACTGAGTGTCTAAAGAATAAATTATAATTAAGCCATTTTATTATATTGATTAGGGCATCAATAAACCCCATGAAAAAACTTTTTTTATTCATTTGGTAATAATTGTTCACTGTTAGATGGTATCCATACATACAAAGTATTTGTATCTCTATCAATTATTTCTTGTCTTCCATTAAATTGCTGAAAACTGTTTGAGTCATCGTTATCACCATGGTCTTGTGTTCGTAAGTTAAGATTTAATGGAGCAGGGACACCATCTGCAGTTATCAGTTGATCAGTTTCATGAGAAAAATTTTCATGAAATTTAACTTCTCCGTCAGTGTTAGTAGACATCTTTTCTTTATCCAAATCTAATTTTGTTATATGAATATTCATATCTGAAGATGTAACTATACCACTGACTTGACCAGCATAACTACTAATTTGAACAGTGTTGGTATTATCTTTTCTATGAACTACTGTATGCCGCCGCATATCTGAGCGTACTCTAAATGCTTTACCACAAGTTTCACATTTATATGGTTTTTCTCCTACAGTTAAAATAAATATTGTATTACACAATAATATTTTTATTAATTATCAATTTTTTTATCATACATTTTTAATTATTAAAGAAAATATGTTGGGTTACCAAAGTATTAACTATTATTTCATTCATTTTTAAAAATAAATTAACTCTAGTTTATACTCATAAACATTATTAACATTTTTGTAACAACTAATTTTTGAAAAAACAAAATTCNTTAACATTTTTGTAACAACTAATTTTTGAAAAAACAAAATTCATGTCTACTACATATTAGTTTATCAGTATGGTTTAGTTAATATGAAAATAAATGATTATTACTATTGGAGGGTTTTTATGAAATTATTTCTGAATTTAAAAAATTTTTTATAGAAAAATTTTAACTATTACAAATTATACCAGGCAATTATTTTTTATGTTAAAACTATCTTCCAAAAATATTTATGTAAACACATAAAAGATCACTTCGTTAATATATACTGTAAGTAACTGCAAGTAAAATAATACTTCATTTTTAAATTAATAATAAACCAATTCAAGTTGTGTAACTACTAAAAAGCAAAAATATAAGTGCGAAAATGTTCATAAAAAATGTAGAAATTTTTAAACATAATTTAAATATTTTTAAACTAAAAATAGTATATTTTCTTAGAATTTATAAAAGTAACATTGTAATATTATCATTTTTGTAAACCATATTGAGAATCTTGCAAGGAATTCCTACTATACTATCTGGAATTCTTATCTTTTTGAGCTTCAAATATGATAAAAATTATATATTATCTTACCAGTATGTATACGACGATGATTTTGTAAATAAGAAGATGCTCTAAAAGTCTTTTTACAAAATTCACAAACATAATTCTTTTCTCCAGTATGTATTCTTCTATGTACTATCAATGAATATTTACGAGCAAAGTCTTTACCACAAAATTCACATTGAAATTGCTTAGATTCAGAGTGTAATGAAGCAATATGATATTTAAGATCACCCCATTGTCGAAAATTTCTTCCACACCATTCACATTCAAAAGGTTTATCACCAGTATGTAACCGATTATGTACCTAAAGTAAATTATTTTTTTTATAAAATTCTTTTAGTTATAAATATAACATTATGTAAAATACTTTTAGAGCACTGCTTGAGAAGAAACTTTTTGGACATAATTTACAACTATGAGGACGTTTTCCAGAATGTGACCTCAAATGATATAGTAATGAGTTACGATGATTAAATTTCCTTTTACATTGAGTGCAAACAAGATTTTTTGAAATATTTTTTTTCATTATTTGTTCAAGTTCATCAGTATCATCTTCCCAAGTGTGTTCTGCTCGACTAGTTTCACCATTATCATCATTTTCATTTATTAAACTATTATTATCATCACCTTTAATTTCAGGTATTGGGCTTTTGTGATTTATGCTATTTTCACCACTATATTCCCACCTATAAAAATGTATGACTATTTAATGAATGTCTTATTTATTCAACAAATGTGCATCAAAAATGATTTATTTTAATTAATATCTCTTATTTGAATAAAATATTCAACTCAACAATTGTAGGGAAAAATTGTATAATATTGATGTTAACAAATAATTTTAGTTTTTTAAAGGCTCAACATAAATTCAATTTATTTATTGATATCCTACAATATTTAAAAAAAAAAGATATATGAAATTAGTGACCCATCGATAATAAAAGTTATAAAAATGAGTAGTATTATAAGCTTTTATAATATACAAGTAAATACAATTACCATATTTCTGACCACTTATAGAACATGAAAGTTTTCTATAAAACATTTATCCTAAATCACTTAAGATAAAGTATTACATCATGATACGTTTTACCTATTTTGTAATCTTACCAACAATGATACATAAAAAAATATTTAAAAAACTAACCGGTTGTAGTTCAATTTATTTTTGTAAAAGGTTTTTTCTTAAATAATAAAGCTCAATTTCATAAATATTATAAAATCAATTTTCCATTGATATTTAATACATTACTATTATTACTACATCATAAATGTCAATGTTTTTATTATTCAATTCTGTAAATCACAATTAATTATTAAAAAAGTTAGAAAATTTTCTTATAATCCCAATATTTGGGATTCATCAAATCTCCAAAATTTGTTGAGACTCGAGAAACCATACAGTCATAAATATAATAAATCGTTCATATAAAGTAAAGTTAATGTTATCTTTTTTTTAACGCCTATTTATTGACTTTTCTTTTACTATATGGTCTTTTTAATAATTAAAATGTCTTATGGCTAAAACGTATTATTTAAATCTAGAATGAACTTAGCAATCTAGTCAAAACTTAAAATTATCTTTGTAAAAAAATTAAACATACTCTTGTATTTGTTCTTTATCTTCATTTTCTGATTCTGTATCAACACCAGGTACCATATGGCGTATGCCTTCCATCAAATCTTCTGGATCAGAGAATTCTTCTAAGCNTATGGCGTATACCTTCCATCAAATCTTCTGGATCAGAGAATTCTTCTAAGCAATCCTGTTTCACAGTTACAACTGTGGCAGGTTGGGGGTGAACTGAAGCCATATGTACTTCTAATGCTTTTAAACGGCGGAAGTTACGACCACATAGTTGACATGATGGGAATGGTTGTTGAAGTTGAGCTGCTAATATAGATCCATCAGATGAGAATATACAATGTTTATCATCTTCAATATTATCTTCATTTAGCTGAAAAATTTAATTAATAAACTATAATGAAAATACTCTAGTTNTAATTAATAAACTATAATGAAAATACTCTAGTTAAAACAATATTACTCTATAATTTTGCAAAGGAGGCAAATCCTGAATGTTTGGTTGATCATGGATAGTTTCTTCAATGTATTGATTTTCAATACTATTAGTTGAATCTTGAGTGCTAAGATTTTGGAAGTTAGTATGATGAGGTGAAGTACCAGAATCAGTAGTAACCACAATTACTTTACTTTGTTGAGGTTCATAATGAAGTTTCAAATGTTCGAAAAATTTAATCTGGTGAGTGAAATTTTTTTCACAAATCTCACATAAAAAAGGCATTCGTCCATTTAATCTTTTTGGCGTATGTATTGCTCTATGTGCCTAATATATAATTTAGGTATAATACAGTTTTAAAGAAATCAAACTTACTAAAATAATAAATAGTTACTGTTAATAAAGATTGAGAATTAAATTGTTCACCACATTGTTTGCATTTATAGCATTTAGGATGTATACTTCTTGGAGAAGTTGGAGCAGTCTCTCTTTTGCGAAATCGTTTTTTGTGCGGTAAATTGTTTTGAATTTCTGCGTGATAATCTGACTCTGAAGCTTCTACTTCAATTAAACTTCCTGAACTTATAATCTAATTAAAAAATATTATAATAATAAATAATACATCTAATACTATGAAATATACACTTTAAAATACCTGTTGACTATTAATATGACTTGTAGATTGTGAAGAATGCTTATTACTTGAGTCTAGATCAATTTCAGTACTATACAAATAACTAGTCATAAGGTGTGAATCATGATGACTCCCATCAACTAAAGACTTGTTCTGTTGAGCAAGTGCATCAGCCAATTCATTAGCTAAGCGTCGATCATCTTCAGTAAGAGTAGAAGACCCATCACCAGATAACATATCACCCGTATCATAATATGTTGAGGTATGATGAGAGAACTCTCCATTTTCATCTATATAATATAAAATAAATGACATAATTGATAGATAACAATATAATAACAAAACATAGAATATAAACCCTATAAAATATTTTTAATTTTTACATTTAATTAAATTTTTTTTTAATACAATAAATGACTAGTATTTTTAAACAATTGAGTAAAATTTTGTAGTAATTAAATTAGAAATCTCAAATTAATATTGTTTATATTTATTTCACTGAATAATAACAATTTTCAGTTGTAATTTACAAGTACGTAAGTGTGATTTCTCAATAATTGAAATTTTACAGAAGAATAAAAAAAAAAAAAAAATTAATACAATAAATAGAAAAGAAAGATAAACAATATTTTAGTATAATTAAGTTAAATATATTATAAACAAATAAAGTGTACTTCAATATCACAGTTTTCTTTTTAATGTAATAAAAACGTGCCATCATTGGTTCTAAAATATTTTATACAATAAAAATCTTATATTTTTGAACATTTCACTTGTAGATTTCAGTCCTATTAATTTTATACTACATAATTAACTACTACAAATTAAATTTAGAACAGATTTATATTGTTTTTAAATTTACAAAACTTGCCTATACGAAATTCATGAGGTAAATTATGTTGATCACCAAGCTGTTTATTATTTTCATCATGCTGATGACTATGTTCAGTGATGTATTGATCAGCTGTTTCTAAGAACTCTCTTGAACGTTCATCTAAAATATCATTATCCATTGTAAGACCACTGATATTGATTATTACTTAACTTATTCACCTAAAAAAAAAATATTAAAAATTATACAAAATTTAAAATTAAAATATTGGTATTGCTTAACTTATAAATGACATAATTACAATCATAAATAATAAATAATAAATCATTAGTTTTTCATAATGCAATAAAAAACCATTTATCTTAATTTTACACAAAATTTAAAAACTATACATGTCTTCTAATAAAATATGAATAGCTCAAACATTATTAATAAAAACAGATATATAAACATTCTATCTGTTATACAAATATTTAAAGTTTTAAGGTATGAGATGATAAGGATTTCATAAAATATAACATTAAATGTTAGGACATCCCTAAACAAAATTAAAAATATAACAACAGAATGTTTTTTCTTGCAATTCAAATTGAAGTTGAAAATATTTAATATAATTATTTTTTAACTAAGTAGTAGTTGTGCAATGTTATAAATGACATTAATGTTATCTAAATATTAGATTAACAATATAATTATTATTTTAATGGTAATATTAACAAAATATTTTGAAAATAACTGAACCAAGACAAGAAATATGAAATGTGTTATATATAATTTATTAAAGTTAAAAGTACTCTCATACCATGACTTCAATATTTCTGTCACTTGGCTATCTTAGTAGCATACCAAAGTATTCTGTTTTATTGACACATGAACTATTTCCTTATTCATTACTTACTGACAAAAATCAAAAGATTGTTTTTTTTAGTTATGATTTCTGTTATCGCGTTACATTTTTCAATTTGAAATTATAGCACAGTCGCTCGTTGGCAGTGGTGGCTCTGATCTTATAAGATTGTTGAGTCGCATACGACATTACCTTCACTCTATAACCCGATTAATTTTACAAAAAATATTAGTATAAAATAAAAACTGCAGAACGATCCATTACTATACATAAGTAATCACTTACAATTTTTAGAGTTGTTGAATAAAAAATGATATGACAATGTATTTATTAATTTGAACGCGCTGTGTGACAATGTTTAGGATAAGCGTAACGCCGGATTGATAGTGGCCAATGTGCGACCAATTGACTGTACCTGCGCCTAACAAAAATGTGACAACAACGCAAAAATCACACAGACCCGATACAGGAAGTAAACGAGGTAATATAGGAAATAAGAAACTGCGTCCGTGCGACGATCTAACGTGTACCCATGTTATATACAGGTTTATTATACAATTACTATCATGTACCTATAGGCCATAACAAAAAAATCACACATACAAACACGATTATTCGTATGTATAGAATACAGTAAATGGAGAAAATATGTGTGGGAGGTGGTAGAAATGTGGGAACGGCAGTTGACGTCATACACGTAACGACATCTATCGTTATTATTCTCAAATAAACCAAAATTATTTTGTCACCATCGTCGTTGTCAATTGGTCCGATAATTTCTAAATATTTTGATTTCGGTTTCGTATCCTAGTGATAATAGCGATGAATACAATTATGTAGAATTGACTTAACTTTATCTTAAATTTGATATTTACTAATCTTAACGCCCACATTTCAGGTATCTGTAGAGTATCATTTGTAGAAGTTCATTTAAGTACTGTCGTGTGTCTAGACACCCGCGCATTATAGCAGCGTAAGCATATCAAGTGCTGTATGGATATGACACGGCGTTGACACCTGTTGATAGTTTCGGCAAATAAATTGTCATAGTCGTCTTCGAAGTTCGACTTTGTCAATTTAATATTATTCATGGCGAACAACGATAATATTTTTGTCGGTAAGTGATCACAATAACAATTGTGTAATTACCGAAATTAATTTTTAACCTTCTAACTTTCTAATTTAAAGTTGTACATTTAACTAATTAAATTAATTTTTATCAATTTTAATTTTTTTAATCTCGTATAAATTTTACATATTTTCAACAACTTTTTGATCTACTATTATTAAATATCATGAATTATATATTTCCGAATAATTAAAAAAATTTAGTTGCTTATGGTCTATCACTAGACAGGCTTAAATAATTTGTAAAAATCTTTAATTGTTTTATTATATTAAGCTATTTGCTGAGTTTTCAATATTACAAAATTATTTATAAAACATTATATATTTATTTTTAAATTGATTTTTGTGAAATCTTTATTATTGATTTAATGTACAAATCATTGTCATATAGTTCAGTATAATTCAAAAATTATGCATTACTTGATTAGAAAAATTACTTTTAGCTATTATGCTACAGTTTTTGATATATATATATCCTGATTTATTCATCAATATTTTTCTCTTTTTAAGTAAAATATTAACTTATAGATCTTTTTATTACAGTAGTAGTACTTATTTTATTTAAACAAGTTTTAGTAAATTTGAAATAGAAATATATAGTGTTTTGTTTCACCTTGGTAAAATTTTAGACATCATAAAAATGTTTCTTATTAAAATTTGATTATCTTTCAAAAAATTTTAGACGAACGAGAAGATGTTCAAAAAAAGACTTTTACCAAATGGATAAATTCTCAACTTGTAAAAGTAATCTACAGATGTAAATTTTTTTTTGTTTCAAAATTTAATTCATTTTTTTATAGGAAAACCATGAACCCATTTTTGATTTATTTTTGGATTTGCAAAATGGAACCAAATTGTTGTATTTATTAGAAATCTTAACTGGTATTCAAATTGTAAGTATCACATATAATTTTCATAGGTTTTATTTTAAAAGTAACTTTTTTTAGAAACCTGAAAAAGGTCGAATGAGAGTTCATCATCTAAATAATGTCAATAAGGCTTTACAAATATTAGAGCAAAACAATGTAAGTATTTTAAATTAAAAAAACCCAGCCTAGGGCGTCGCGGCATAGTGGTGACGTAGCATAGTTGAGTCGAGTATAATGATATCTGACAGTGACTAAAATCACTATCATAAAAAACGCTTCGATGCAAATCTTTAGATAGTGTTTCATTTTAAAAAATTGTTGGATTATTCCAAAAAATAAATGATTTCCTTATTTATATCCTAATTAAGATAAAATATGTCAAATTAAAGAGGGATATAAATATTATTTCTCGTNGGTTATGATAAAATATGTCAAATTAAAGAGGGATATAAATATTATTTCTCATAAAAAAATTGTATTGATCCATACACTTTTTTATAAGTTATAGCATTATAAAGTTAAAAATATAAAATCGAAAATTTGATTCAAAAGTTAAGTTGAGAAAGTTAATTTTTTGTGAAAAAGTTGTCATTTTAAATCCCTTCAGTGGGCAGGTGGTAAAGGGTCAGATTTATAAAAAAAATATATCAAATGATAGGTATAGACATCATGCATCTATAAAAAAAAATTATATTGATCCATACATTTTTTAATAAGTTATAGGACTATTAAGTTAAAAATATAAAAAAGAATTTTTTTACAAAAGTCGTATTTTTTTTATTAACTTTGATGTCTGTTTTCACTGTGAAGACAAAATAAAGTACAAAATTTTTTTTTTCCTTAATAAAGTATATTACATTAGCTTTAATTTGACATATATATAAAAGTGACAGACTTTCCGAAACACTTTCAAAAGTTAATTTTTTGTGAAAAAGTTATCATTTTAAATCCCCCAGTGGGCAGGTGGTAAAGGGACAGATTTATAAAAAAAATATATCAAATGATAGGTATAGACATCATGCATCTATAAAAAAAAATTATAATTTATAAAATGTTATGGCAGTTTTAAGTAAAAAAAATTGAAAAAATGTTGAAAATTAGCAATTTTTAAATTTGTAATTTTTTTGGAGATTTCCCTCATTTACGGGGAACGAGGAAAATTTTTTCAATTTTTGAGGGTACTATCTTCTACTAGATACAATTTGTGATCTTTTGACGTATCGTTAAAAGAAATCAGTTCAGTGAGAACTGAGAAAAAGTGGTAACAGACACAAAAAAAAAAACCACATCATAGTAAAAAATTAAACATGTAAAGTAAAATTTTAAATTGTGCTTCTATTAGATTGCTTATATTTTCAAACAAATACTGGTAAAAATAAAATAAAACATTTTTTATTTTATTTTCAAATTTTATAGATGTTTAATTCCTCAAACATAATTTTAATACTTCAGTTGTATAACTAAAGTATATAGTTATTATATCATAACTACTTTATTTTTTAGGTGAAGCTAGTCAATATTAGCAGTAATGACATAGTTGATGGCAGTCCAAAATTAATTCTTGGACTAGTTTGGAGTATAATATTACATTGGCAGGTACAATATAATTTTTATATTAAATTATTTTAGGAAAATTTATTTAATTATTCTTTTATATTGTGAATCTAATTTTTATTATATTCTAGAATATATGTGTACTTAGTCTTTGTATGCAATTTGTTATATATTTAATTTTTGTAATATCAATGATTGATATAAATGATAATAAATATACTCTATGTAAATACGAATATCTTAATATCTCTATTATATTGTACTAAATTATTAAATTTTACAAACTTTTAAGAAATATATTGTTACAAAAAACTATTGAAAAGGCTTTGCAATAAAAAACTTAATATTTTGTTTAGTTGCTTCTTACCGAAATAGATCGTTTTACTTCATGTTTATTTAAAAATTTGTGAATAATGATAGTAATTATATTTAGGTTGATTGTCATTTAAAAGAATTAATGACAGAATTGCAACAAACAAATCTTGAAAAAACTCTTATATCATGGTGTAGATGTAATTTAGAAGTAAGTAGATGATCAATATTTGTTATTTTATGTTATTAACTTTTTTTACAATAATAATTAATGAAAATAGGAATATGGAATAGATATTAAAAATTTTACCACTTGTTGGACTGATGGGTTAGCTTTCAATGCATTAATACATAAATTTCGATCAGATCTTATAGACTATAACGTAATTTTAAAACAACATTCAAATGTTAGGCTTGAAAATGCATTTGCAACTGCTTATGTACATTTAAACATTGAACGTCTATTAGATGTTGAAGGTGAGTTAGTATAAAAAAACTATGTATTTCTCATTGTGTTTAAGTATTTTATTTCTTTTTTTAGATGTTAACACTTCAGTTCCTGATAAGAAGTCTGTGATGATGTATGTCATGTGCTTATTTCAGCGACTGTCACAATATTCTGATGAATTGAGTGTTGCGAAATTTGATTCACAAATAAATGTTTGATTATTTACTTGTTACTTACCTATTATTTTAATTAAATATAAGTCAAATACCAATTACTAATTAATAGGATGAACAAGAATTCACAAAATCTGAAGAAAGACCTATCAGTATGTTAACAAATGTTTCTGTTGAACTTGGAGGATATCAATCAGCATTAGAAGAAGTATTAACTTGGTTGCTAGAAGCTGAAGATCGTTTACATCAGTCTGAAAAAATTCCTGAAGAACTTGAAAGCATTCGAGAAGTATTTCATTCACATGAAGTAAAAAACTTTTTCTGGTATAAAGTGTATTTTTTATTTTGTTTTATTGTATAACTTTTTTTAGAATTTTTTAATTGAACTCTCTCACCATCAAGATGGTGTTGGGGCCGTGTTGGAGGAAGGTGCTAAAATGTTATCTGATGGTGGATTAAATGATGAAGAAGAGGAAGAAGTTCGCATTCAAATGAAATTATTAAATTCACGTTGGGAAAAACTTAGATTAACAGCAATGGAAAGGCAAACTAAGTTAGTTTTTAAAAAAAAGTAAAAAGCTTTTGTTATGCAGTAACATGTATAATTTTTGATTCTTAATTGGAAGAAACACAGTCAGAAAAATGTCAGAACTAACCTATATTGTATACCTTCCTTTTTTTACTTTTCACTTAATTTAAATATTAACATTAGACCATAGCCTTTGTACCCCCTTAACATATTAACGTATATTTGTTACGATTAACATTTTTTCTAGGATTCATGATAATCTAATGCAAATTCAACAAAAACAATTAGATGAACTTAGACTATGGTTGACTCAGACTGAAGATCGTATATCGTATTTGTCACAATCAGCTAAAATGGATGTTGATAATTTACGCTCACAACTTGATGAACATTCATCACTTAGAGCTGATTTAAGAAAACAACAAGTCTCTGTTGATTCTTTATCTAAACTTGTCATAGTTATTGATGAAAAAAGTTTTCCAGATTCTGGTAATGCTCTAATAAAGTTAATTATATACAAAAATTCAAAAAGTAGAATTTTAAAAAATATAATACATTTTTTTCTTTTAATATTTTTTTAAAATATCTAAATTATTTTAAAGTTCATACTCAAATGGAAGATGAACTATCAGCTCTGGGGGAACGATGGGCTCATATATGTAAATGGGCTGATGAATATGGTATCAAACTACAAACACAACTAATGAAATGTAGTCGAATTACTGAGCAACTATCATGGTTACAATCTTGGTTTGACTCTAAAGAAACTATCCTAAAAAATATGGAATCTAAACATGTTACTGAAGTAGCTGAAGTTTTAGAAAGAATTAAACAACTACAAGTTAGAATTAGTTTACTGTAAATTATTTTGCCTAATTACTTATTAAATACAATGATAATATTGAATTTAGACATTGCGACATCAAATGTCAAGTCAGCAACGAAATATTAACAATCTTCAAGCTAAAATTCAAAGCTTAGAAGAAGAGTTTATGTATACTGAGCATTGCCCCTTTTCAGAAAGAATTGAAACATTACAAGATAGATGTGATGCGTTGGTCCAAATTATTGAAATACAAGCTTTAAGAGTAAATATTAAAAATTATTATTTTTAGTTCATCTACTTATAAATTTATTTTATTTTCACTTTTTAGATATCCAACGATGGCTTTGAGTTTGATTTAACAAATCATACAAGTATAGATCAACCCGATGAAAAGTTATTTGATGATAGCTTTGAAAAAAATTTAAAAACTTTAGATAGTGATGTATATATTATTGTACAATAATATTTTAAAATACTAAATTTATAACTTTTTTTTTACTAAAGGAAATTGGATCAAAGCGAAGGAAAAAAAATGCATCTCCTCCAGATGATGAGTATGATAATGTTGTACTAAATATTAGTAATTGGTTAAAACGATCCCAAAAACTACTTGATGAACCATTAGAAGCAGAAGAAGAAGCTGCTTTGTATGAAGATATTATGTCTGAATATGACAGCCAATTTTTGCAATTAGATTTTATCAGTAAAAAAGTAAAAGATTGTGAAAGTAAGATTATTATAAAATTGAAAAAATTAATAACTTAAAGTATTAAGAAAAATTTATTTTTCAGTCAATAAAACTCCAGTACCCAAACTTGAAAATTACACAAAGCTGTGTGAAGAATTTCACGAATTTGAAGCATTTTTAGAAATATTCAAGCATAAAGTGAAATATGATCTTGATAAAAAGCAAATAACTAAAGAAATGAACTATTTTAAATTAGTATTAGATGGATATGCAAAATGGCTAGATAATAAAAATTCTACTTATGAGCAAATTAAGGTTTTAATTATTGTAGAAATATTAGAATTTATTTTGAATATTTTGTTTTATATTTTAGATGAAATTTAAATCTTTAAAATCTTTAAATGATCTAGTTTTAAAATTAAACCTAAATCTTGATCAATTAAAACCTGATGATTCTTTAAGAGCTGAAATTCAAAAGTGTCTTGCTACTTGGAATTTTTTGAATGAAAAGTAATATAATGAAATATAATTAATCTATAATTTTAATTTAATATAAAAATAAATTCTTCAGGTTTTCAAAGTATGAAGAACAAACAAAACTATCACAAGAAGCTAATTCTAGTTCTAAGTTTAAAGAGTTAAAAGAAGAGCTAGCTGGTTGGATTAGTAAACTAGAAGGAGTTTTACTTGGAGAACCAGTGCTTATGAATGAATCAAAAATTTTAACAACTCAATTGGATCATTTAAAAGTATTATCACCATTGGACTTTTTAAATTATTTATTCTTCAACAAATATAAACTAATATTTGAAAATTTAAGGAATTACAAAAATCAATAATTGATCGACGAGCAACTTTAGAGATGGTTAATAAGTATGGACANAACTTTAGAGATGGTTAATAAATATGGACAAGATATCTTAAACAAATTAAACAATGGTATTGCTGCTGAAAGATTAACTGAAGATCTTCAAGATCTTAATACCCGGTGGAGTGATATTCCAGTATTATTAGATGAAAGGATATTAAAATTAAAAAAAGGTATAATATTTATGGATTGAAAAAATATTGATTTATATTTTTTATTAAGTATTTTAACTAAATAATTAATACTTTCTTTTATATTTACTTATAGAATTATACATAGTTTTAGAACTAGAATCCAATTTCAGAACATTAGAAGATTTAATGGAGCAAAGTGAAGATCTTTTTAATTATTACAATTCACAAAGTGATCAAACAGATTTGAAAATGATAAATGTATTGCTATTTTATTTAATTTGGTCAATTTTAAAAACCACTTGTTTAATTTTTTGAGATAAATATGACCCCTAAATTATATTAGACTAGTTCAAATCCAAAAAAAGGTCAAAAGTTATTAATAACTTAAAAATTAATTTGAAATTAATTTAATTTAGTCAAGTTTAAAAAATTACAATGTTTTCTTGTAATCCTATATTTGTAATTAACAATAAAAATCTTAGTACAACAATTACAACCTCATAAAATTCAATATCATCAGTTTTCTCTTTTTATTTAGTTTTTTTTTTAGAAACAATTCAGTGTTTTTTGCACCAACTCAATTTTATTTTAATAATCGATTCTTGCCATATATGTTTGAAATTAAACAAACTGACTTTTATATTTCATTTTTAGGATGTATGTGATTCAGTTTCTCAACTATATGATAAACTTCATGGGGACATGACAAAAATATTTGAAACAACAGTTGATAATGATTTTAAANGACATGACAAAAATATTTGAAACAACAGTTGATAATGATTTTAAAACTAAAACAATTCTAAAAATAGAAATTATTAAAGAAAAAATAAACAAAATTCATACATTTAAAGAAGAAATTGCTGTTCAAGGGTTAAAACATTTAGAAAAAGTAGGATTATAAATCTTTATTTTTCAAAAACCAAAAAAATAAAATGGTCACGAGAAAATTTAATAAACTTTTGAAAGATAAGTTAAACATTTTGAAAATACCCACAAATCATTAGAGATATGTTTATTATTTTGTTAGTAATTGAAATCTATAAATCTCTAACTTAAGTCGCTATATATCAAAAAAATTGATCTATATGATCAAACCTATTTCTTCTAAGTAAAGAATTAGTGTTATAAATTTGTATTTTATTATATTTTTAATTTTAACTCAAGATTTATAAAATTAAAAAAATTTTATAGGAATTTGCGGATGTAAAAAAGTGTGTATCAGAAGTTGATAAAAATCATACTTATCGCCAAAAAGATCTTATAAATTCAGCTGGTGAGCTTGTTAAATTAAAAAACAAGTATAATTCATTACATGATAAACTTCTAGAGAAAAAATCAACATTGGATAAACTGGGTAAGAAAAAATAAAAATATATCTAATTAATACATGTTAAACAATATTAATTTCATAATCATCTGTTTCATTTAGAACAATGTAATGATGATAATGTCAAAATGTTAGTATTAAAGTGGAATCAAGTATATGAAAGTGTTCACTTAATTCGCAATGAGTTACAACAAGATGTACAACTTCATTCAGAATTTAAAGGTATGCCATTTTAATCACAAAAGTTGTAAATATTTCAAATAATTAAATTAACTTGAAAATTTTTTTTTGATTTATTTTATGTTTTGATTTGGACATATAAAAAAAAACCTAATATTAAAATTAATTTTTGACTAATTACAGTTTTAATGTCTCAAGAAAACGTGTGGCTAGATAAATTAGATAAATGTCTTAAAAAAAGTATCAAAACAGTAGCTACTGATGCTGAAGAAATATCAGAAGAACTTGATGTAAGTTTTTATAAATACGTAACAAATTAAAAACATAAATTTTTAATATGATTTTTATATTTGTATATTTAAAAAAATGTATTTTTTGGGAAAGAATATTATTAATTTAGTATTTATATACACTCTGTATTCTTATAACAAAATAAAACTTTAATTTTAATAAATTATATCAATTATATTCTAATAATATTGATGTAATTTGTAATTATAATAAATTTTTTATCTTTTAGGACTTAGAAAATTGTTTAAGAAATCATCCTGAATCTAGAATAGAACGTTTGAATGAAATTGGTGCAATTTTATGTGATCATAATGTTATGACCTCTAGTATAAAAGTAGATTTAGCCAAAGTAACTTCTCGTTGTAAAAAGCTCACTACACAAGTATGTATTCTATCATCATTTTGACTAAAATCCTCAAAAAAAACCTCCCCAAAATAATGTAAAAAATTTTTAATAACTCTCTGAATTTTCAATTTTTATACAAACATCTTAATTTGTTCTAAAATAGTTATTTTATTATTAAGGCTGAAGATAAAGTGAGACGTTTAGAAGAAAACATAGAACAAACACAAAAGTCTGAAAATTGTATTGCTCAATTTCAACATTGGCTTGATAGTACAGATCAACAACTAACTTCACGCATTCAAAATGATTTTTCTCCTCAAGATATACCAAATGATGTTCAAGTTAGTTAAAAATCGTACACTGTTCACATTTTTTTCAGGGCTAGGAACCCTGAAAGAAATGTGGACAGAATTTAATGTAAATAGGATTTCATTTTTTCAATAATTTGTACCATATCTAGTAAATTAGTTTACTTATATTAAATTTTTTTTAAGAATTTATAAGGTTAATAATTTTAGAAATTGAAAGTATTATGAAATCGCTTTTAAAACCTTAACCAAATTTAAACTTTTTTAAAATTCAGTTTTAATTAAGGTTACAAAGGTAATCTCATAAAATTTTTGGTTTTTGTAATTATTTTTTTAACATGTACTAAAAAAAAACTTAGTATAAATGAACTAATTTACTAGTTATAAGAAAAATTGCATAAAATTGAAATTATTTTGGTTCCTAGCCCTGATTTCCTTAATTATAATTTTTAGATACTTTAATTAAAAACAAATGTATAACTTCACTAATGTGTTTATAAAATTTTGTTAATTTACAATTTTTATTCTAATTAAATACCTTTAGAGGCTCTCTGAAGAATTTCAAAACCAAGGTAAATTACTGCATGATATGGAACAACAAATTTTTAATTATGAAATAGCTAATAAAAAGGAAGTTGCCAATAGACTAAAGGACCAGTTATCATTTTTAAAAGTTTGTTTATGAACTAAGTATTATTAATACTACTATTTGATTTAAAAATATATATAATTTTTCGTTTTCTAGAAACGTTTTTACCAACTTGAAGAAAAATTCGAAAGATACCAATCACCTGGTGATTTAACAACTCGTACTTCAAGAGTGTTAAGAGAAATGCAATCAATTGAAAATACTATATGTTTATTAGAATTAGCATCTGAAGATGCTGCTAGTATTAAAGAACAATTTAAACAGTGTTCGGTAATTAATTTAACTGTAAAAAATAAATTTTAATATAAAATTTTAAATAAATGTTTGCAGAAAGTACATTCTACACTTGATAATTTAAACAATGAAGTTGAATTTATTATAAGTTCTTATAGTTCAAATGACAATCAAGTTCAAGTTGAAATAGTTAAAAACTTATACGCCAAAGTAAATAAACTTATTTTTTCTCTAGAACATTTTGTGATAAATTAATGAAACTTTTTAATTTGTTGAAAAATAAAATAAAATTATTTTTTGTAAATTATTATGATACATGCCATATTTTTTTTTTTTAGTTAATGAAAGATGTGAAACAAAAAAAAGGAAGATTAGAACAAGGATTAAATTGTCTAGAATTACTGGACACAAACATCAATATTTTGTCTGTGTGGATATCAGATGTAGAACAATTTTTAAACAAAAATAAAGATATTCATTTAGATGAAAGTGATGTAAAAGATCAAATAAAATTTATAAAAGTATATTTTTATTATTGTATTATTTTAATAGTAATAAAATACAATAATTTATTATTTTTAGGATAAAATAGAATCTGATGTTGTTAAATTAGAAGAAAATATTAACATTATCAATTCAACTTATAATGAATTTAAATCTCTTAAAGATCCATTGTGTGAGGATAATATTTATTTTGAACGTATTAATACTGTGAATGATAATTGGAAATTAAATATTGATAAATTGAATGAAAAACTCTCACAATTAACAGTAAGTTGTAATAAATGCTCTTATGAATGCATAATTATTTATAAATATTTTTTTAATTAAAATACTTAAGTACTTTCTAAATTAAGTAATAAGTTTATAAAAAGTCCAAATACAGTAGAACTCCAATTATCCGAACTCCGACCATCCGAATCGCCGATTATCCGAATCACTTTCAGAAAAAATCAGAAAAAAATTTGTCCAAAGTCCGCGGCGTCAGTGTAGGCACAACACGTGGTAAGAGTTCCCACTCCAGTTCCGGCGCATTGCAGTCACCTGTCATTGTTTGTTTTGATTAGTCAGTGAATGGGTCCCGGTCCCCATTAATTCGGATAATTGGAGTTCTACTGTATTTCATTATCCACTAATACTTAAATAGTAAATTAATTTAAACTGGTAAAGTTATTTTATTGATATTTATTGTCTTAGGATTTAAGTGCAATGACTAGCAATGTGAAAATTTCAAAAAGGGCAAGTAAAACAAAAAAGAAACCTCTTCCTGAAATCAAAATTACTAATGACAACAGTAATGTACAATCAAGTGCTTTATCAAAAACTGTTAATGAAAATAGTGATACTTTTAATTTGGCCCAAGACAGTAAATTGTTTTCTCAAGTATCTAAAGGAGATTCACAAATATTACTATCTACCATTCAGCCTAAGAATAATAAAGTTCAAGAGTGTGTTATAGTTGAAGTAAAAGAACATGAAATATTAAAGTCCAGTGTAATAAGCCACGGTAAAGTAACTGCAGAACATCTTTTGGTGCCTGTTAACTATGCAGAAATGGTAGAACTTTCTGAAGGCACAGAAACTGATACAGATGAAGAAAAATGGCCTCAAACTGTATATAGAAGAAAAAATTCAGAGAAAAAATCATGTTTGAGTCCATGTGAAATTTTAGTCAAACGACAAAAACTATCTTCTGAAGAATCATTAAAATCAAGCTTTGAAAATTTACAGAGTAAGTTTATATAAGATAGTTAGTGATATATGTATTAAGTGAATAGATATTTTTCTAATGAGTTGATAAATATTCAATGGTATTTACCCACCCATCAAAAATATGGCTTAGGACCTCCATCCTAGAATTTTCAATACTCAATGTGATTATGATGTTAAATTTAATGATATCATCTGAACTTTTTCTTTTTTACTTTAAATCAATAATAAAATAATAGATTTGTGCCTGCAACCATCCAATTTGTAAAATTTTTAATTATTTTTAAAATTAAAGTTTACAAAACTGTATAAGCTCTGCGATAGTAGTAGTAGTTTATAATAGTACTGTTTTAAACTATTATTTGTATTCATCAATTTGTAAGTGCAAATAATTTATAAGTAAGCTAGGCTGTGGTGTAGTAAAGTGGATTATTCAATCATTAATTTAGCACTGATGTTCAACTGCACTGTTTGCTATTGGTTCCTAAATGATCATAGAGGAACTTGATGTCAGATTTACATTCAGTATAAAATTCTATCAAATTATTAAAACAGTAATGATGATGATTCAAACTTATTTTATAAAACCATCTATTTTGTTATAACATTAAAATTATAATACCTACTGTTTCTATTTATTTATTACACCCACTAAAAATAATAAAATTTATTATAAAAATTAATGCTAATTATTTTTTAGAAAACTGTTGAACATAGTTATTTTTTAATATTAAAGAAAAAAATTACATTTTTTACAGATAAAGATTTTACTATGCCGTTGGAAGATGACCATGAAAATTCAGATTCATTATGTGTTAAAGTAAATAAAACTCATCATACAACTATAACAGCTTGGCAAAACCCTACATCTGATGATTACAAAGAACTAGTTTTACTCAAAGAAGTTGAAATGTCAAATACTTATAAAATCATTGGAGCTGATCAAGAAAAAAATACCTTGAATATTCCGAAAAAAATTGGAGAAGACAATGACAGTTTTTATGGTAGTGATAAAGAAACTGATGATGTAGTAATGTTTTCAGACGATGAAGGCAAAAGTATAAAGTTTGAAGATTCAAGTTCTTCTGATGATGAACTAACTAAGGTAAATTAAAAATTTTTATTTCTAAATTACTATTTACTTATTCTTTGATAGAATTTTGGTCACTTATATTTCTATTTTCCATCTTAATTATTTTGCTAATTAATTTAATTTAAACTTAATAATTTTCATTTTAAAATTCTATGGTTTTTTTAGCATTTATATACATATATTTTTAATAGTTTAGTTTTAGTTATTAGAAGTACGGACATAGAAATTGGCCAAGCACACAAATTTTAGCTCAATGTATGCACCCTATATCAAAATAAAAAAAGATAAATTATTTTTAATGTGCTTAATTAATAAATTATTCCAATTGAATATTTGACTCCTGTGCCTATTAGATAAAGATTCATTTGCCTTAAACTAATTAATAATTCACCATAAAATGTCCCACTGATCATTAAATACTACATTCCTTGTATTAATATTTTAGCTTATTGAATGATCTTCTATAGAGACTTGTTGATTTCATATTTTTGTTCCCATGAGCTTTCTTTAATTGAATCCCTAATTTTCATAAGATTATCCCTTCTATTAGTATGACCATCAGTTCCCACTAGAAGCTGAGAATAGTCCACTACAGTAGTGTTTGGTATTATGGTANGAGAATAGTCCACTATAGTAGTGTTTGGTATTATGGTAAGACTATATACAATATGGTGCACTTGGTGCCCTAGAGGTTCCCATAAGTATCAACTTCACCTTTCAGTATACTATCCTTAAGACAAATATCTCTTTCTTGGTATGGAAGGTTGGGAGTTTTTTTGCTGTTTGCATGTACCTATGTCCATGCTTAACAGTCTAAAGAATTATAAATAACTGGCTGTATGATCAATGATGAATTTTTCCACCCTTCTGAATAATTAAGGTCTGCAAGATTATCATTCCCATGATCGTTGAGAATCTTTTATAATAATATTTTTTAATAAGAATATTATTGTTATTTAAAGGAACTTAAAATTATAAAATCTGAGAAAAATGTACTAAATTTATCAAATCAATCAAATACCCATACAATAAAAACCATTCAGTATGCAGATATTGAAAAGTATGAAAACGAGGCTAAGATAATGTTAAGTAGAATGGAAACTACTCTAAAAGAATTACGCCAATTAAAAATGGAACCTGATCCAAAAAAACGTTTTGAGGCAAGTCACATTTTATAATTAACTTTATTTAAATTTTGGATTCTAATTAACAACTTAATGCATACATTTTATTAGTTTATTAAATCAGTGTATTTTATAGTTAATTGAACAAAAAGTGAGTTATATAGCTCCTGATGCTGCTACACTTATAAGTAAAGGAGATAGTCTTATACTTGCGAGCCATATAGATGATCCTTNTCTTATACTTGCAAGCCATATAGATGATCCTTCAAGAGCCAGTACATTATGTACATTAATTCAAGATAGGCTAAGAGTTTTGTGGACTCATATTATGTCTGAAATTGAGGTATTTGAACAAAATATATAAAATTCACGCGACTTAAATATTAATTTAATAAATTCTAACTTAGATTATTAAACTTCAAACGCAAGTTTTAGAAAAACAAATGGATGAATATAAAAATATAAAACTAAATATTGAAAATTGCCTAAACCAGAAACATAAAAATTCACAGGTAATTAAAAAATAGTCATTTATTTAAATAGTTAAAATAAAGAAAATAAATACAACTGATAGTAAGTAATAAAAATAAAATATATCAATAATTGGTTTAAAATGCACCTGTGAATAGTGTTAAGATTACTTTGACGGCCACTCTGCCAGTCGTAAGATGCTACTAATAAGGTTGTGCCAGGTTAACATCCGGTGTAAAATTTTTGTCAAAAAGTATGAGAAGTTCTGAAAAAAAACTTAGGCGGATAGTCCCATCTCGAATGTATGCCAAGCTGTAAAAACAGTTATAGAAATGAATGTTAAAGAGAGAAGAGGTAGAGAAAGACAAAAAATAGAAACAAAAAAGAAAAACTACAATTTTATTTTGATCAGGATTTTAATTTTTTAACATTAATTTATAGTTACTTCTATGTTGGTCTTACAGATTCTGGAAAGAGAAATTAATCAATTGTATAGTAATCTTTTAGAAATGAATGAAATAATTTTAGACATTGAAGTACTTTGCCANGTATTAATTTAATAAATTCTAACATAGATTATTAAACTTCAAACGCAAGTTTTAGAAAAACAAATGGATGAATATAAAAATATAAAACTAAATATTGAAAATTGCCTAAACCAGAAACATAAAAATTCACAGGTAATTAAAAAATAGTCATTTATTTAAATAGTTAAAATAAAGANTTCATTTACTTAAATAGTTAAAATAAAAAAAATAAATACAACTGATAGTAAGTAATAAAAATAAAATATATCAAGAATTGGTTTAAAATGCCCCTGTGAATAGCATTAAGATTACTTCGACGGCCACTCTGCCAGTCGTAAGACGCTACTAATAAGGTTGTGCCAGGTTGACATCCGGTGTAAAATTTTTGTCAAAAAGTATGAGAAGTTCTGAAAAAAAAACTTAGGCGGATAGTCCCATCTCAAATGTATGCTAAGCTGTAAAAACAGTTATAGAAATGAATGTTAAAGAGAGAAAAGGTAGAGAAAGACAAAAAAAAGGAACAAAAAAGAAAATCTACAATTTTATTTTGATCAGGATTTTAATTTTTAAACATTAATTTATAGTTACTTCTATGTTGTTCTTACAGATTCTGGAAAGAGAAATTAATCAATTGTATAGTAATCTTTTAGAAATGAATGAAATAATTTTAGACATTGAAGTACTTTGCCAAGATCAAAATTTTATAGATAAAATGATTTCAGAAGTTAAAAGTTTAAAAAAAAAGTTAAATAAACTAAGCCCATTATCACAAGAGGTAATAGTTTCCCTATACTAGTTATATTTTATATCATAGCTATATTTTTTACCTAAGTCTTTACAATTTTTTTTTAAAGTCTAAAGCAAATGTTCCTGATGTTATTGTCACTCAAATAAATGAGACAAAAAAGATAACAGGGTCAATTTTAAGAGAATTAAATGAATTACCACTGTCAAATGATTCTGTCTCTGTACAAGCCTCTAAACTCAAAGTAAATTTTAAATGTTGCATTATAAAATGATTATAATAATATTTATTATTATAAACATGATGTTTAGGAATTAAAAATGAAATCTGATTCACTTAAAGTAACAATTGGCAATTTCAATTTGAGAACTGTAAACAATGAGCCTTTTATTATTAGAAACTTTAAAAGAATAAGTGAATATTGGGAACTACTTCATAAATGTTTAATTGAAAGAACTGGGTAAGATTATTTATATCAATAAAACATTGTATAATTTATGAAAACTGTTTAAAATTATATACAATTTATAAAATGATTAGTTAAGTTATGTTTTTATCATGTTTAGAATTACAGTTTCAAGTAAAATAAATTAAAACAGAATTGTATTATATTAAAAATTAATGATAAAATTTTAGAAATACTTGGAAATTAAAGTGTTTTCTTATGTTGTAGGCAAATATCTAGTACTCAAACAGAAGTAAACAATTTACAAAAAAGTGGTAAAGAACTTTCAGAGTGGTTGGCCGAAATTGAATCTGATATGGCAGAAAATGATTTAACTTTGACATTACAAGAAAAAAAAACGAAACAGCGTGATTTAGAAAGACGTGTTTCATCTAGACACAGGTAAATGAGGCAAAATTTTAAAATGATTTATTTTTTCTATACCTTATTACTATTCAATAAATACCTATCTATTTCGTTGTTTAAAATGATTAATATCATTAAAAAAAAAAAATACTTCACTGACCATTGGATTAAATAGTATCTGTTTTAATTTATGCTAATTTGCTTTTTACTCAAACTTTTATCTTTTTAATTTATAAAAATAAAAATTTTATTTCTTATAAATAGTTATACAAAATCATTTTTAAACCAGTAAGTGTATAAAATTTTTGTTACTAGAACTGTAATCAGTTTCCTTAACTGTTCTCGAACATTATGGTCACATTCAAATACATTCCAATCAGAAGTTAAAAATCTCAGACTAAGATGGCAAGCTGTGTTAAATAAATTAACTCTTCAAAGAGAAAAGTATGTATTATTATTACAATTTAAAACTATTATGGTATTTTTAATACTATCTAAGGAGGCATACACCTGCTTAGTTAATGTAAAAATAACACTTACTTGGCATTATGTCAAATTGTAAAGATTCATATTATATAGCATCTTAAGTGATTTTATTCCCTGGTGTAATTTCACCAGTATAATCTCAGTATAATTTTGTAATTTAAAGTACTTTCTAATTTAATAAATTATTTTGTGATTTAGATTAAATGAAATGGATAAATCAAAATCTAATTTATCTAATGTGGTATCATCTACAAAAATCACCATTGATCAAACCTTAAATATGCTTCAATCTACTCAAGCTAACCCTTCAGAAACTGATTCTTTAAACTCTAAAATATGTCTACTTAAAGTAATTATTATTCATCTATTATATATAAAAAAAATTATAAAATATATTAGTATTTTTTATAATTTATATGTAATTAGTCTAAAGAAATTGAACTGATAAACCGCAAAAAAGACATTGATACAATGAAATCCACAAAATCAAAACAGCCAAATGACCTTGAATCAATTAAATCATTATTAGATCAGGTAAAGCTTATAATTATCTTTTATTTAAGTTTTATCAAAAAAAAATACTCCTTACATATACATACTATATGTTATCAAAATTATTATTAGCTTCAAAGTTTTAACATTTATATATATATATATGAAAAAAGTAAAGTACACATAGGTGATCTAACTAATATAACATATTAAACCCCGTATGAAGAAAATTAATACATGCTAAACATGTATTTTGAAAAGGTAGTAAAACAATATCTTGTTTTTGTTTTCTGCCTAGACAAATCTTTGGGAATTCAATTAAATGTAAAATAAGACAAACTGAAATCAATAATATTTACCAAAATTATTATATAATTTTATCTTCAATTAAAATTCAACTTTTTTGTTAAATCAATCTTAAAACTTAAAATTTTTATTTATTAAATTATTACTGTTTTATCAGAGAGAAGAATGAGAAGCTGTAAAAACAGTTATAGAAATGAATTTTGAAGGAAAAAGAGGTAGAGGAAGACCAAAAAAGAGATGAAGGGAAGTTATTGAATGCAATATGAGGACAGTTGATGTGAACTTTGACGATGTGGGAGATCGTGTCAAATGGTAGTTTAGGATAAGGGTGGACAAGTAGTTGGGATTAAGGCAAGGAAAAAAAAGTAGATTACTGTTTTATTAGAAATTGGCTATTAGTTGATATATAGATATTTTTTATACACTTATAATGAGTAAGGTATTTTTTTATTTATTACAGGTTATTAAAGATCTTTCAGAAAACTTGGTTTGCTTAAATGGTAAACTTGCTGCTTTGAATAAGTTTATAATTCAGTTAAAAGATTTAAATTCATGGGTATCATCCAAAATGGTTGAAGTTGAAGGAATTAAACAAAAACCATTATCTGAAAGAAGAAATGCTTTTGAAAATTTAAATGTAATTATACTGTGTAATTTTAATTTTTGCAATTAATAATCAACATTTTTTTCGGCTATAGGCAAATTTATTGGAAAGAAGTGCAGAAATAAAAGATATTTTGGAAAATTTTACAAATATAGAAAAACAATGTGAAGGAATTGGTCAACCAGTATCTATAGAACTACAAGTAAGATTATTTTTTCAGTGACTTGTATATATATATATATATATATATATTAGTGATGAGCATTTTCGAATATTTTAAAAATTCTATAGTTTATTTTTAGCATAAACTATTGAATAGTTCTTAAAACTATTCGAATATTTTTTGAATAACTATCGAATAGTTCGATAGTTACTATTCGATATTTCCCATCACTATTATATATGTATATAATTTTTATACATATATAGGAAATTGTTAAAAATCTAAGAGAAAATTGGATTCAACTTAAAAATATAATTGAAGATAGTATTAAAAAACCATTAGCCACATTATTTGAGATAAAAAAAGGTAAGCTTATATCTAATACTTAAATTATTAGTTAGTTTAGTTCAAAATAATAAAATATTAGTATAATTGTTACAAATAATTAAATTGAAGTTTCGCTTTTATATTGATACTAATCGTATAAAAAAACTTCTTGAATTTTTTATTATTAAAATGTTTATTTGATTTTTTCCCAATTCTAAATAAAATACTTAATGTAATAATTTTCTAAATTTTGAATAGTTCTAATATGTTTTTAAAATTTAAGGTCTAAGTCCCTTTATTCTTTCCTCAATTTTAAGTCTATTGTGATATATCATGATATGCATAGATATCAATTACTACAATGATAATATTTCAAATTTGTTTAAAAATTGAACATTTTGAAATCTAGTATCATAAATGTGTGAGGTTTCAAAACACGACTCATGTTATGAGGGCCTTGACTCAAATCATCCCGCGCTTAAAAAAATTTAAAAACAAGTCGATGAGCAAAAACTCTTGTTACAAAAAAATTACATACCCAAAAAATAAATTTATAAGTTTGTGCCAAGTTTCGATATTAAAACTATAATGTTTAAAATTATTATTGTGAAATTGTTCCTTAATTTTCATTTTTAAACTTAAGTTGCTAAAGTAATTATTGAATCTTATAGAAAAGTATATAAATAATAATTAAGCAGTAATTTTGGAACTTGTCAACTTGAAAATTCATCTATTGAATTACGCGAGAGTCTATAACCAATAGTTTTTAGACAAGATCCTTTTTTTTTATTTTAGGATATACACTGATTTATTGTCTTATACTCTTCAATATAAATATTATTTTTCTAAGGTTTACATTATTTTAAAAATCATTATAGAAGATATACGCAATATACCCGCNAAAAATGTGTGAGATTTCAAAACACGGCTCATGTTATGGGAACCTTGGCTCAAATCATCCCGCGCTTAAAAAAATTAAAAAACAAGTCGATTAGCAAAAACTCTTGTTACAAAAAAATTACATACCCAAAAAATAAATTTATAAGTATGCGCCAAGTTTCGATATTAAAACTATAATGTCTAAAATTATTATTGTGAAATTGTTCCTTAATTTTCATTTTTAAACTTAAGTTGGTAAAGTAATTATTGAATCTTATAGAAAAGTATATAAATAATAATAAAGCAGTAATTTTGGAACTTGTCAACTTGAAAATTCATCTATTGAATTACGCGAGAGTCTATAACCAATAGTTTTTGGACAAGATCCTTTTTTTTTATTTTAGGGTATACCCTGATTTATTGTCGTATACTCTTCAATATAAATATTATTTTTCTAAGGTTTACATTATTTTAAAAATCATTATAGAAGATATACGCAATATACCCGCGTATACCACCCAAAACATCACTGTCAATAACAAAGAAAGGTATTGTTATAATGCATTTATAGAATTTTTACCACACAAAAAAATACTTTAAAAAACTAGAAATCAATAAAAATATAATCAAATTTCTTGTTTGACAGTTATATGTATATTTTTAGTAAATAATATTTTGCAAAATAAAAATATTAGTAAATTCAATTTTTTTTTTTTTTAACCCTTAAACAGTTGCGTGGGGGTCTAGCATACCCCCACATAAATAAAAACGGATGTATTATATTGCATGAAAGGTGTACATAGATATAAATTTAGAAGATGGTTTTTATAGTAATATTAAAATATTTTCATAAATAAATTCGGAAAAAAAATGTATGACATAAAATATCTATCAAAGTTGAAATGGGTCATATTGACCCCCACGCGACTATGAACGTTATAATTTTTTTTTGGACTTGTATTTTTTTCAAAATATCGTTTTATCGTAAATGCAATGTTATAATCGATATAATATTGTGGAATTGGGATTATTATGTGGATCTGCCACCGTCTATGCAATTAAGTTTTAAAAATAAATAATCTATTGAGAATTTCCACTACTTGATGATACGGAACAAATACGAACTAAACATGTAATAAATACATCCCGTCGCAATGTGGACACATTGATTATCGGTGCCTCATTTACAATTACCACTATTCACATTTATCCCTCCTGACCCTACTCGTATTATAATAATTAAATTGTATTGTAATATTAATAATAAAAAAATTCAATTTTTTAATTGTTATCCATATTTATATATCATATGGTAACAAATTATGTCTTTGAATTAAAAAAAATGAACTTTTTTATACATATTTTATACTTTTTTAGAAATGGGGTCTAATAGACCCCCAACGCGACTATGAACGTTAAAAAAAGGTACGCGCCTGCTTAAGGGTTAATAACATCTCTTTCCATGTTTTTAAAATCTTAATCCCTACATTATATTTGTTTGTTTTTACTTATGTTTTATTTAGAAACGTTGAAATTCTTAGAATAATCATAAATCTCTACATAATAAACCTAAATAAATTTTATCCTTAGCTCTGTTTCATTACAAATTCAAATTCAACTGCAAAATTCGCATTTTATTTTAATAATAGAACGAATATCATCCATACTTTAATAAAAAACGAAATTCCTCATCTACATATAAGAGATAGATGCAAGTAACTCTCATCGTTAATACTATTTACTATACAACTTAATAGTTGATAAAAACATAATTTTTAAGTAACATTTCTGAATAATTACGAGAAAATACTATTGTAATTATAATTAGATAATAGTTAAATGTCTCTAATAAAACTTTATATAACAACGTTTCCACTGTTAGATTAACTATCAGAAGGAACTATTCTTATAATTTCTTTAGGAACAGAGCTTTACAATAAAAATGTTTAAAAAAAAAATCTTTCGGTTCAATAATATTTTTGGTAATCTATTTTAATAAATTAGCTTTGATAAATTTTAATTTTAGAGCTGTACTATGTAGTTCATAAATTAATCGGGTCAAAAAGACACTTATAAGAAATAATACCCATTCCGTGCACGTAAATTGAAGTGTGTATATATTTAAAGATACTTTGCCGGTTGTATTTATCCTTTGCTCTTACGGGGTAGTNTTGCCGGTTGTGTTTATCCTTTGCTCTTACGGGGTAGTACTAGAAGTAAAGTGCGAGAGACGTGGGGTAAAAGCCGTCAGCAAGTCTCCGCCTACTTGTGTATCAATCGATGAGTACCGCGGCCGCGGCAAAATCTCGCTCGCGCTACTTGTTCCGGTCCATCCACGCGTTGGTGGCAGCAAAATACTCTCGCTTCCCCTTACACCCTCAATTCGCCGGACTCTCAAACACGCGGCTTCCACTAACGCACTACAGTAATGTAATTCTAATTCGCATTGTACGTGTTACAGTTTGCTTCTTTATTTCTTTTTTTTCACGTTCATTTGCATACGATTTAATAAAATTAATTTTTTTTTATTAATTTTAATATTTCTATCACTTTTTAAATAAAATCTTCCTTTAAATTTTTTTCTTTATCAATGGATCTTAAATTATTAGTTGTAAGTACATGATACAACAGTACACTAATAACATCTGTCTCAATGTTAGAGAATCATTTTATTAAATGATGAATTTGTATTAAAGTTTAGTGTTAAATTAACATTTGATTAAAAATTTCTTTATTTTTATATTTATTTTTAAATTTTGGATGGTGAAATTATAGTGGGAATATGTTAAAGTATATATATATATATATATATATGAATGATGTGTGTAAACAAGAAAAGTCTTTAATAAAAATGATTTAAAAAAACTTTTTTTTCAAACTTTAAAGATTCAATTATGATAATTATAATAAAGTTTATTTACAAAATAAAAATGTACTTATTTATATAAATCAAATAATAGATGACAAAAAATTTGTGCTTTTTTTCACCAGTTAAAATAATTATATAATTAATCTAATTTATAAGTGTAATTTTTTAAACCTTCATTTTTGAAATTTTCTTTTAAGTGGAAGAAAGTTGGAAAAACTTAAGAAATGTTACTGCAGCACATTCCAGTTCTGGATTACAATCCTTTTCTTCTGTCAATTCATCTGATGCAGTTTTTAATTTACTGGCTAGCTTTGATAAATCTATTCTTCAGGTAACTAAATGAAATTAGATAAAATGATATTTTTAAAAATTCTTAATTTATAATTTAGATTTGTGACTGGTTAAAACTTGAAGAAAGTATGTTGCGTCAGCAGTCAGTAACTGTTGGTGATATCAATGATATCCTTCAATTAATTGATAAACAAAAGGTAATTTTTGTTGTTTATACTATAACACCATTAACCCTCTGGCTGTCACATATATGCAATAGCACTAGTCAAAGAGTTAATATACTAGCTTTTCTCAAATAAAATTGATTCCATTTATACATATTCCTAAATAGTTATATAGGGTAAGGCTGGATTAAGACGTGTTAGAATCTAGGAGTCAGAAATATTCATGAACCCTCACATACAAATTTTTGCTAATTTTTACCTAAATTATAAAATAATGAGTACAAAAAATTATCATCAATTTATTTTTGGCCAACCCCTATATATTTTATGAATCTATGTACCATTTTCTGCTAACCCTCTTAATCCAGTACTATGTTAAATATATTTGTAATAATAAAGCTCATAATATATTGTTTTTGTACTTAAATATTACTAAATATTTGAATAGTCAATAAGTTATTAAAAAATATTTATTTATGTATTATGTATAAAAATACTCCAAAAATATAAATTTTATTAAATTTNCTAAACATTTGAATAGTCAATAAGTTATTAAAAAATATTTATTTATGTATTATGTATAAAAATACTCCAAAAAAATAAATTTTATTAAATTTAAATTCACATGACAGAAACAGTATTGATCGATTATTATTAATCATTACATAAATATCATTAAACTTACTATTATTATTTAATTAGTACTTCATATTATAGACTATCATAACTAAATGATAATCATAAAATTGAGCAAGGTTTATTTTTATATTTTTTTAAAAGACAAAATTTTTTTTATTTTAATCTAATAAAAAAAATGTGTATACACTAATGGTAACTATGGAAATCCTATGAATAAGTTTTATTGTATGATTGTTATACTTATATGTACTATTAAAACTGATATCATTGACAATATTTTTACTATCAATGTTTTTATTCTCAAATATACTTCATTATTTAATATTAAAATCTTAAACCATTTATATAATCTTTGGAACCAACTTAGTGCTTACTATGTAAATCCACACTTTCAATAGTAAACATTTTTTTAAAGTAAAAATCTAAATTATTTGATCATTGTTTTTATTTGTTTTAATAGAATGTGTTAAGAGAATTAGAACAAAAGAAACCTCAGTTAGATGAACTTGTGCACACAGCAGAAAATCTTAAAGCTGATTCAAATCGTCAACAATTACATGGAAAAGGTTAGAAGCCACAATTTTCTTCCTTTTTTTTTTGTTTTACATTATTTTTCAAAAATTTGTGTGTTTTAGTTACCAAGCTACGAGAACATTGGGATGAAACCAATAACAAAGTAATGCAACGTAAAACTGAATTAAATGCTATGTTAGGAGATAGTGAACGCTATGATACAAAAAGATTAGAACTCGATAACTGGCTTAATCGAATGGAATCCAAGCTTCAAAAAATGCGTATAGTTGGAAACACTGCAGATATACTAGAATCACAACAAAGAGAGCAAAAAGTATTGTTATTATTTAAATTAATTTTATTATTTGAGTAACTATATTATATTGTTTTTAAATNTTTGAGTAACTATATTATATTGTTTTTAAATAGTTATTTATAATCGGTGCTTGAAACTTTATGTATTTTAAAATGTTGTTTAGGCCACATCAAACTTCATGATAATTTATCATAATTATATACAGTACCATAGAAATATTTGTGATTTAGAAGAGGGTTATCTCATTGGGTCATACCCCCATAACTAAATTCCTACATTTTTTTACATTGATTAATGTTAAGAAAAACAAACGAATATCTATTTATCATTGAATTATTCAGATTGACTAAAATAAACTTTATAAATATCTTGACCAAGTCCTGTTTATAATTAAGATTTAATTCAGGAGCCATAGATAAGTTTATGATAGATAAATAATTAAAATATCACTAAGTCACTTTTTTATGGCAGCATTGATTAATTACTTTGAAAATATATAAATGTATAACTCAGTATGAAATGCTTTATTTTTATATTGTTTATCATAAGTAAAAATGTTACAAAAAATAAATTTAAAATATTAGCTTATAATAAAAATAAAAACTTCTATGTTGCAAAATAAGTAATTGTGCACTCTACACAAAAAATTTGTTAGCTGATATTTAATTTAAAGTGATTTTATACACGGTTTTTGGAACAATCTAGTAAGATAAATGATCATATATATCATACCATAAAATATAATTATGAAATATCAATTTTATTTTATGTGTATATTGGTATTTAAATTATCTAGTAGTAAAGCTACTATAAAAGACTTAAAATTTGAACTATTTTAAAACAATTTTTTCAAATATGGTTGTCAAACCTTTGAAAATTATTAATAATGGTATTTTTTATAGTTTGATAATAGTTTTTTTAACTTTTATAAATTATTAAATAAATCAAAATGTTACAGTTTAGTTATCTAGTTTGTATAAAACACATAATGGTAATGTTTTTTGTGTAAAAATCCCTTAAGATAATTTTTGTTAAACTAACTTTAGTATAAAAGTACAGATTAATCCTCCTTTCATATTATTAAGCAAATTTTCTGGTATTTAAAATCTACAAAAATAATGTCTGTATATATATATATCTATTTCTACACTAAATTAATTTAAAATTTCAGACAAGTCTTTTTTTTTTCCACTTTAATAGTTTTATCTACATAAGTTAAAAATACATTGATAATTAAAAACTATATAAGTAAATAAATGTTTATTACAAATTACTGTTATTTTTTTAGACATTCCATGTTGAACTTCATCAATATAAGCATCAAATAGATTTATTCAATCAACTTACTCAGAAACTAATAGCAGTTTATCAAAATGATGACACGTCTAAAATTAAAAAATCTACTGAACAAATCAATCAAAGATTCCAAAATTTAAATACAAAGTAAGATCTTCATGCAAAATTTATTTTATATTAAATACTATACTAAATTTAAGTACCATAATAAGTTTTTTTTGTTAATTTAAAATGTAAGGTTTGATTAAATTCTAAATATTTAACAATGAAAAGGTATGTGAAGATTCTATTTACTTTATACAAGCAAATCTTTTATTTTAATAAATTATTATTTTATCTGATAATAAGTTATTGTTTATTTCTTTGTACAGGTTTTTAATTCTTGAACTTAACCACTTAATATAAATTATTATTATTAACTATGCTATTACTTAATTATTTAAATTTATTTTTAATCAATTATAAATTAGTATAAAGTAATTGATGGGTAACCAAATACGCTTGGTATGGTTTAGAGTTTAAATCATCCTCAATAATTGCTCATAATATTTTATTAAGTTGTTTTTTTATTTAATTGTAAAGTTATTAATTTTACTATTATTTTTATATAATTATGTAAATATACATAAAGAATTATACCATATATTTTTTAACATATTCCGTTTTTTTTTTTTTTTTATATATATATAATTTTAAATAATAAAAATATAATAAATTGATTTCGTAAATTTATAAATTTTATAATTAAAATAGCATCATAATTTATAAAAAAATACATATTATATTAATTTTTTTTGTAATTTTGTGTTTTTTAGTATTATAAGTAGAGGAAAAATATTACATTCTGCAATGAGCACTTTACAAAACTTAGATAAGTCATTTGACAACTTTTTGGGATGGTTGTCAGAAGCTGAATCGACTATGGAATCAATTGAAACTGAATTTGATAGATGCAATACACTAAAAAGAGATAGTTCTATTGCTATAAATCAGCTTAAGGTAATTTTTGCTTATAAAGAATTTTTCTTCAATATTTTAAATCTTAATCTAAAATAATGTATCAACTNTATAAAGAATTTTTCTTCAATATTTTAAATCTTAATCTAAAATAAAAACTTTAGTCTCAACTTCCATTAAAATAAAAAATCTGACATGTCGATTTTAGAAATATTTAGAACAAAAAGAAATATAATATATCAATGGTGTTTCATATGATAATCAAATTTTTAAAGTACAATAAATAAAACTTCCATTTAAAAATTAATTATAACTCTTTCATACATTAAAGAATACTTTTTCTCAACTCATACAATAAAAATCCCAAAACCGCTTTTTGTAACATCAGTTTTTGAAAATAATCGAACAATTGTATTATATTAATTCTCTATCAAATATTGAATTTTAAGTATTTTGAAGTAAAATTAAAAGCTATAATTATTAGCTTTTAATTGTTAATATTTCAAAAATATTTTTAACGTGAAAATAGCTTAATTATATTGAATAATATTTTTTGTTTTAATTAACAAATTAATTTTAGCTTCGATTCATAGCTGAGAAGGTATTGGTTTTACTATGATGTGTTTTGTTTTTTTTTTTATGTCTGTTACCACTTTTTCTTAGATCTCGCTGGACCGATTTCTTTCATCAATATGTGAAAAGATCACAAATTGTATCTAGTATTCCTTGAAAATCCCCAAAAAAATTACTATTTTTAAAATCGGTAAACTACGACATTTTTTAAACTGTATCCTCTTAAAACTGACATAACTTTTTGAAAAACTAATGAATCAAAATATTTTTTATATTGAAGTCTTAGGTATTTCTTTTTCATTTGATATAAATTTTTTGAAAATCTAACCCTTTACCTGCCTTCTGGGGGTATAAAAATAGCAATTTCTGTACAAAAAGAATAACTTTTTCAACTTGAGTTTTAAAAATGTTCCAGAAATACTCCGAGCTTTAAACATATATTAATATAAAGATTATGTTATATACTACTACTACTACTACTAGAAGTTCAAAAGAAAAATTTGTCCCCATGACCTATTTTCTATGTGCAAATAGCTCTGTAGTTAAAAAACATGGTATTTTTATGTTCAAATTGTATATTTATTTTTGTTTATTTTAAAATACTTTACACGGGTTTGTCATGATTCCACCAATTTTTATAAAATTTACGTGAAGCTATCTTACATTAAATATAAATTTAAACTTATTTTGTTTCCTAAAAGTTAAGATAAAAAAGGTGCTTTGAATTTTTGAACTAATTTAAATTGTCATTTTATGCTTCGAATTTATGTAAGACACAGTGGCTGCGTTGAATATATCAGAATTTTCTACGTTGACGTACGAAGTTTAACAAACCCCTCCTATCGAATAACTCTTTTACATTTTTTTTCTTAATTCTTTTTGAAGTCAAAATAAAATTTAAAGTTCGTTTAATTTATATTTCATTTATATAGTGTAACTTCCATGAATATCAAGGACACCACCACTGTAGTCTACCTTTGTGAAAAGGAATATCTTATTCATTTAAAAATATTTCACTATATGGTTTTTTTTGTGTTTGTCATTCATTTTTTTCATCTCTCACTTTTTAAACATATTAATAAAAAATTTTATAAGTTAATACATTAATTGATATATTTCTTAAATACTGGCCCCTCGATATTTAATTGTAAACGTTAATTATTNTGATATATTTCTTTAATACTGGACCCTCGATATTTAATAGTAAATTTCAAATGTGTACAAAACGAATTTGTGAAAGTAATCAGAGTTTAGTTAAATATTTGATATCTTTCTAATTTTTCAATTATGATATTATATTTTTCTTTGATAAAAAAAAACATTTTTATTCTGTCATCTGTTTTTTAACAGATCTCAAATTGATAATACTCATAGTATGTGCATGTCAGGTTATTTAATCGATTTATTCTCATGTATTGTACTGTTGAACTCATATTATTAGAATTATTTCGTTGTAAATGACATTTCTATCTTGTTGGTTTTTATCGTTTACATGATACATATTTTCAAGCTAGTTCAACAGTTTTATTATTATATTGCTGTTGTTAAGTAAAAGTTGGCATTTTTAATTTTCAATTAACTTTTAAGGCTTAAAAATTCGTCAGAATCATGATAAAAATTTTTTTTTTTTAATATTAGTTTTATGGAGAGAATTCAACTGAAAATCGTGTAAGCTATTTACTATTCTATTGACTACTATTAAAAAAAAATGTTATTATGTTAGTTAAAATTATTAATAACTTTGGTTAAATTTATGTAAATTTCATACAAAATGTATTAATTACACCAATTAATGTGAATATGTGATACATAATCGTCTTCAATTTACTATTTTGGTATTTTCGAATTACTATTAAAAAATAATTTAATAAAATTTTATTTTCGACTCAATTACTATTATTCGTTAAAAAAATTTTAGTATCTAAATTTTGTTTCGTCTTGGAGTAAATTTAACTATTTTTATACTTTCCGTATCCCCCTTCATAATCCAAACATCAAAGATTTTTCTAACATCTCGAATTCAGTAAAATTCGAGATGTTATGTCTGTACGCTCATCTTTTTAAAATGTTTGCTCGCATTGCAACCCAGAAGTCTAAAATTAAGATTGAAGACTTGGGTCAATAAAATGAGACATGTCTATTTTTTCAATTTGTTCAAGAGGTAAAAAAAATATATCTTAAAAAAGTTTTTTTATTAACTTGTGATACTGATGAA